AACTTGGTCCTTGAGTTGTTGATAGGTAGGAGGGGTATCATCATCACCTTGTGCGATGCATCCATGGCTTTCCTTTCTCCCTTTTTGCTTCTCAAAGGTAGGGCACCCATGAATTTTCTAGCAAGTATCTCTGGTGTGTTTAGGCTTACTACAATGGCGTTATCATAGAGCACCATGGTATCGTGCAATTTTTGTAGTTCACCCCATTTAATGAGATAAGGCTTATTATTGTTGTTGTTGCATCTCTAGAGTGTTCAGGCTTATTATAGTGACCACAAAGTGGTGACCATCTTTCTTTGATCACCCATCACCTAATTGCCACCATAGTAAATGACTAACTAGAGTGAGGAGGAAGAGAATCAGCAGTAACATGCTTGTGACTCTGTTCCCATTTGATGGTGTACAAAACTTCTCTCATGGTTGGAAGTTGGTGGAGACTAAGAATTTTGCCTTGAACCTCCTCAAACTTAGGATTTAACCCAAGGAGGAATTTGTACATGCATTTTAATTGAATCAATTTTTTGGTGATATTTATTATCCTCAAAACATGTCAGAGATGAACATTATAGAGATTGAGTTGTTGCCACAATTGAACCAAAGTGTTATGATAAATTGTAATAGACAAGGTACCTTGTTTTAATTTGTGGAGACTCTCTTTTAAGTTCAGAGAGGATGGCTATGTCGGGTACAGATGAGTAGAGTTCCCTTGCTACCTCCTTAATATCATGATCACTGATAAACATTAAAAAGGATGTGACCATACTATCTTCATGTGGTTTGTGATTGGTTATGAGGAAAGAGAGATCGCTTGAAGCAGAGGAGGAAGACAAGCTACTTTGTGAGGGGGGTTAGACTGAGAGGAGGAAGACCTATATTCATGTAGGTTCTGGGTTTCGATAATGTTGGCCATGTATTGGCCAAATTGAAAAAGCAAGGTGACTCATGGCTCTGTTACCATAAAGTGTTTTGAGATAGAATTGTCTCAACTTGTATTTTCTCATTCATAGGCATAATAGGAGATTAGCTTGTTGCTTCCCATACTTCTTTAGCTGATTAAGTTTACCAATCAAACTTGCATCATGGAGTTGTTGGCTTCCTTATTGGAACATTTAGAGTCATCAACATATGGCTTTGCCACAACTCTAGTGAGATATCCAAATTACCCTTTGCCATTGAAAAATGAATGCACGCTAGCTGCCTATTTGAGGAGATTTTGGTTGTTAATTAACGAAATATGATAGAAGGTTTGTGATGCCGACATGATTGGTGTATTAGCTGTTGGCACCTCTAATCACCATGGCCTTCAACATCTAGGTCAAATTTGAATTGGATCATGGTGGCTTTAATACCATGACGTTTTCTAGATGTTGTAAAAGTTGCTTTATTCATTGAATGGTAAAATAGGTTTTATAGGTCCAAAGCTCGCAATCAAAGTGAGGATTTTGCCAAGATACTAGGAGCAATTACGATAAAAAATGAATTAAAATCAAATCTAGATAAAAGGTAAATAGCGGCAGATAGGAAAAATGGTAAAACCTAAGTACTAGAATCAGGATTTTTAGCCTAAAAGCCTAATAGGGTTCCACTAATAGGATCAATGATGGATCCTCATTTATATTAATAGTAAATACATGCTAGGACTTGATTTCTAAGAAGGAAAATTAAACAAAGTCTATAAATTGGTAATTATGTGTTTTTCGATCAATTTGGGTACATTAATCCATAGATGAAACACTTAAATACTCTCTCCGTCCCATATTATAAGACCTTTTTAGTCAAAATCTCACATACCAATAAACCTCATTAAAGACACTTAACCACCTTACTTTTTCAAGACAAAAATAAAAACTTTTAAAAATGTCCTTCATTTAATACTTCATTGATGAAAGAATATTGAAGAAAAATAATATATGGGAAGGGTAGTATTGAAAAAGTATCATTAATGAAACTTTATTTTTATCAAAGTGTCTTATATTTTTTTGAAATGTTGAATCTTGTTTAAAAGTGTCTTATAATTTGGGACGGAGAGAGTATATTATTGCAAAATTAGGCCTCATTGGTTGAAAAAGTAGCAGGAAATCAAATAAAAACAAATGATAGTCAAAGTTGATAATTTTCAATAAAAAAAAAAACATAATGCCTCGTTTGGTTTGTTGGAAGTGTTTTTCATGTAAATGGACATGGACTAGGAAATGTAGATGGATATGGAAATGGGATGGAAGTAGATTATAAAAGTATGTTTAGTATTTTTATGAAAATATGATATAAATTTTATTTAATATATATATATATATATCTTCCTAGATTGAAAAGACTAAATTACCCCAAATTAAAAAAAAAAGCAATTACATGCTATCAGAATTCCATAGCCACCCTTCTCTAGATTGTTGTTGGAAGAACCGCGCTGGAGAACAAAAACTACATGCATTCAAATTGAAGACTAGATAGCATCCTTAAATTAAAAAAATTGAAAGCACTGTTAAATTTAAAAAAAAAAAAGTCAAATCTGGAAGTGCCTTTGCATTCCTTTGTACTTTGCCGCAAGTTTTTGAGGAGAAATCATGGTAGGAAGATAAACAAGCACAACATTGAGGATCTTGGGCGAAAATGGGGTCATAGGCCAATCTGTGGTTTCTTCTCTTTGCCTCCATTCCAGAATGGAAGGGTCACATGTTATATTTTTTTTTTAAGAAGAAAAGCTTGATCTGGAAGAAGATTGTTGCCACCAAAGCCTTTGGTTTCCTTCCTTCTTTACCTAGACTTATTTGTATTGAATAGAATTTGCAAAGTGAGTCTTCTGGTTTACTTCCTCAAGAACTAAAACCATTGTTAGATCGAAAGTGAGGAGGCGATGGAGTCCTAATTGGCAATGGGTGGATGGTAGTGAGGAGACGATGATGGGTATCGGGTTTGGAAGAAGGGGAAGAAAATGCAGTAAGAGAGGGTGGCATAAGTGATTGGTGAGGTCGCTGGTGATTGTGATGGTCAGGTTGTCGGCCTTGTCACCATCATCACTTTCAAATGTTCTTCATTAGGCTTGTGCAAAAATTGACTTACTATAGGTAATAAAATATTTGGTCTAGTTTGAGTGAGAAAAATAAGCGTCCTAATTGAGGATTGGTACCTACTAATGTGAACAAGAGTGCCAATTATTGTGGGATAATGGGTAATGTGGGAAGTTAGAGAAATATTAGGAATCAATATTATTTTAAGTTACTTTTGATATTTTTTTATTTAATAATGTTATTTAGGTTATGCTTCTATTTTATTGAGTGGTCCTCAAGTTTAGGAGTAGAGTGAGTTATATTCTTGCATATTAAGTGAGTAATTTTATTTTATTTGCTTATTATTCAGCTAGTTATTCCCCATTATCTCAATTATGGATTAATGAGTCTTTTTGGGAGTCAATAGATATTTTTTTGTCTATAAATATTGAGGCATATAACATGCAGAAAATTTTGGAAATAAAATCATTATTTATTTATATTAGTGGAGATTCTCCTTAGCTTTATTAGTTGTGTGAGTTTAAGATTCTCGCTCATACTAAATTATTTTTCATTTTTATTAATTTATGAAGTTAGATTTTGATTTTATAATTTAATAAATATTTTATTTTATCTTTCTCTTTAATCTGTTCACTTCTCTTCTTTTCTTAGCATCTTTCTTCTTCTTTTTCTTCTTTGACGTAACCTTTATTGAAGTTGAGTTTGGCTTGCAACCCAACGCAGTGGATCAAGTACGTACTTTTTTTGAGGAATATAAATCCTTTCTTAGATTGAGCCACCTCCATACCCATAAAGTATTTAATTTCTCCTTGATCCTTTGCATGAAATGCTCTTGCCATTGCATCTTTGATTCTCTTCATTTCTTCATGGTCATCCCTTGTGAAAATTATGTCGTCCACATAGTCACTTAAAATTGTTCTCTTGGTCCCTCAATGCCTAAAGAACAAAGTGTGATCACTTTGTTATTAAGTATACCCTTCAACTTTTATTTCAGTACTAAACAAAAAAACTAGGAAGTGCCTTTTTGTTTGTCCTTGAAGATAATAGAGAGTTTTGAATTGATCACATCTACTAGTCATCTTCCTGGTCCTCATATCCTAAAGTAGACTTTTTGTGGGACTTTGAGTGGAGAAATATGATTTTTCATTAACAATAATAGTATGATACAGGAGAGAGTATATACACAAAGCTAGGAGACGAGAATAAGGGCTAATAAATACTAATAATTATAATAAATCCTATTAACTCCTAATAATCAGGTAATAATATTTACAATAAATGCAATATCTCCACACTCCCCTCAAGTTGGATCATAGATGTTAATCATGTTCAAATTGCTTATGCAACTTTCAAATGCGGGCTTATGTAACCGCTTAGTCAGAACATCTATAGCTTGAAGGTTTGTAGGTAAATAGATCAAACATATTACTCCATTTTCTACTTTTTCTTTGATGAAATGCCTATCCACTTTCACATGTTTTGATTTTTCATGTTGAACAGGATTTAGAGTTATGCTTATAGCTGCCTTATTGTCATAATAGAGTTTTAATAGTGAGTCCACTTCGACATGCATCTCTTTTAGGATCTGTTTTAGCCATAACTCTTACATTATTCCTTGAGCCAAAGCTCTTAATTTGGACTCAGCACTGCTCTTAAAAACAACTCTTTGCTTTTGACTTTTCCAAGTAACCAGGTTCCTTCAAACAAAGGAACAATAACCAGAGGTTGATCTCCTATTAGGATGAGTTCCTCCCCAATTTGCATCTTTGTAGACCTCTATGGTTTTTTGTTCTTTCTTTTGGAAGAATAACCCTCTACTAGGAGTGCTTTTTTGATATCTCAAAATCCTATAGGCTGCTTCCATATGCTTCTTCGGTTCGGACACGTATTGGCTAGCCATACTTACTATAAAGGCAATATCCAGTCTTGTATGGGAAAGGTAAATCAATTTCCCAACATGCTTATGATATCTTTCTTAATCAGTGGCCTCTTCATTCTGCTTGTTCAGAGCTTAATGTCACGGGCTGAGAGTCTGGCGCAGCACACGGCGCCCGTGCGGCGTCCTGGAGGACCCCATAATCCTCAGGACAAGCCTTACCACATACGGATCACACTGGTTTCGCCCTGCCATGGGCTCATCAGGGAGGCGGCACTAGCCCCCGACCAGTTGTGCACTCAGTCCGAAGACTGAGGCAGAACACCCCCAAATGCTAATGTCGCCCCCTTTACCCATATTGTGCGAGGCTAACCAGCGGATCGTTCTTTACATTAGTCTTTACACGGTCACGGAGATATCATCCGTGACATTAAGGCCACAATATATTTTGCCTGATTGGGCTCTCATATCGACACTTGTACCCATAAGTTTGGTTTGTCAAGATTGCTGATTAGTTTCTATAAGTGGTCAAGCTATTTGAGACTGCTTGCATCAATTGTTGGGTTGTTATCATTAGAAGCGAACTAAGCCTTGCTATCACCTTGTTGCCTTTGTTTCTGGTTAGATAGTTTGCCATGAAGCTTCCAACAAGTGTCCTTTGTTTAACCATATTTATTGCAGTGATCACACCAAGGCTTACCACTGTGTTCTGCTCAATCACCACTACTGTATAGTGCAAGGGCAAAGTTGTTAGAAGTAATATGAGTTGTAGTTGCAATGCCTTGTACAATACCTTATGGTATTAAGCCATGTTACAATTGGATCCTTAGGACAAGATTTCTATAATCATGGCATTGTTTAATCCATGCAACTAGCCGCACCGAGTGGAATAAGGCTTGTTATTGTTGTTGTTGAAGTTGTTTGGTCAAGCTTCGACCATCTATTTTTGCATGGCTTAAAAGTTTCTTATTGTTTGAATCAGAGCATCAAATATTTGAATTTTTTCTGATTTTGTTCAAAAATAATTTGTATTTACAAATCTTTTAAAAGCTTATCCTTTTGGGATCAAGTAGCTTTTGACAATTTACTATGTTGTTTGCAGGGTTGGAATGGATAAAGGTATATCAAAAGCCTCGAAATAGAAACACTTCAAAATTGATGGTTCGACCTTGTTATCCTCCTATGTATCTTGAAAGCCAAATTCCTGACATGAGTGCTATTTTTGAAGAAATAGTTGTTTATAATACATGGATGGTGGGGGATTTGGTAGATTGGTGGGCTGATAACTGTTATTGGTCTGGAAGAGTGGCCAAAATATTGGAAGATGGGAAGTTTAAGGTAATACTTACTCATGGCTTTTGATCATCATGGTCCTCAAGATTATGGGTTCGAATTGTTTTTCTCTTTGTACTTTTAATGGAGAGGAATAACTAATTAATCTAAATTATTCTATATCACTTTCCAACTCATTAGTCTTGAAGAATATGGGAGTATGAAGAATGAGTACGAGAGAAGAGAGAATATGGGAGAAATTTTTAGTGAGTAATGATCTACATGTTCATCTTGGTTGTAAGGAAAAGTAATTGATGGCCTAGTGGTTTGCTGAGAGTCTTCTAGGGGCATGGGCTGTATTAGCGTCACTCTTTGGGTCTTTAAATCTTCCCCTTTGACTAGAGAATGGTGTGGGGAGTGTTTTGAAAATTGAGAGTAGTGAGGAAAGTTCTGGCCTTTTGAATGCTTGGTTGGGGGTGGAAGAAGGCCATCTTTCTCATTTTCTCTTTCTACTTAGTGTGTTTGTAAGTGGCTTATGCTTGTGTTACGGTTCTATGGGTGTATTTGTGTTGTTTCATGTGATCCGTAATTGTTATTTGATTGTAGGTTGAATGTATGGGGGAGATGAGATCGGCTTGAATTATCGTTTTCCCTTGTAATCCAGCTTTATTATTTAGCAATAGTAACTTCAATTTCATTTGGTAGTGTATTTTTTCAGGTTTTTGCTTCTTTTAAGCTTATTAGTGTAGAGGGTTCTACTAGGTACTCTTGGTGCTTTTTGTAAGAACATAAACTAGTTGATCATTGGAGTTGATGTGGCTAGTAGGAAGTGGTTCTAGACAAAGATCATCTCTAATGAATTGACAAGCAACTTCAATATGTCTGCTCCTCTCATGCAAGATTGAATTGGAGGCAATGTATGCTGTAGCTTGATTGTTACACTTGAATATATTAGGCCAAGATCCTCTAATTGAAGATCTTGGAGTAATTGTTTCATCCACAAAAGTTCACACATTGGCTGTGTTTTATTTAGCTCAAGTAGATCTTGTGACATCTTGCTTCTTGCTTTCTTGAGAGACAATATCTGCTCCAAGAAATTTGTTACGACTACTAGTAGATCAATGAATGCTACGTTAGAGATTGCCACTCTTGTACTATAATTTTTGTTGAGGCACTGATAATTTTGTTATTATTATCAGTTTATGCTTACTATTATGTCATTAATATCTTATAGCCTAAGTTAGTTTAAATATTCTATCTTTGCTAAATATTTATATATCTTATAGGATAAATCTAAGATATTGGGATTTAGTAAAAGATACTATGATCCTGGGCTTAGGGTTATGTGGTTTGCTTTTTTTTTTTTTAGGGCCACAGGAAATGTGACTACTTATATTAATGTGGAAAATAATTATAATTATAATTATTAAGTAAACATTTTGTATTTATCAGGGATAGGATTTGTTAGGATTGATTTTATTTTTTGTGTCTTTTACTTGTGTATTGCTATAATATTGAAATACCTATTGACATCACTATTGTATATATTTAGATTGATTATTGGTGAATGCCAATTTTCAATCCCCGTCTACATGGTATTAGAGCAAGGGGTTCTTGACCACATTGTTGAATTTTGACTCGAACGCCTCGTCTGACATTGAGATGGAGTCAAACCTTTGCTCAGAAATGCACTGTTCGACATCGAATGGGCTTAGGGGTTCCTTCACTAGATTCTTGTGTCTAGTTAGCAAAAATATTGTCGTAGTTGCCTAGAAACTGTGACCATGTCCCTTCTTCTAGGGAGGTTGAATGTAGGGGCCTTCATGGGACGGGATGGGACGGCACCGGGGTAGTCTTGTCCTCTGTCCTATCTTTAAAAATGAACGGGGTTTAAATTTTATCCTGTATCCTATATCTCGTTCCAAAAGTCATCCTATCTTATTCGGGATCATGATCAGACTAGGACTGGATGTCCCAATAAAGCGGATAAAACGTGGAAATGAGAGTTGGATAACAATGTTTTTTAAATTATATAACCTGCTAATTCCAAGACGAAAACAACAAGAGCACATAAATTAAATCATTAAGTTACAACAATTACAATTTAAAGTGAAATAATGCAATCATAAAAACCACAATATGAAGTCAAGTACATAATGACCATAAATGACCCCCAAGCCACGGATATTATAACAACATATGAATTACATAACTTAAATGAGTAGATGGTTATGTAAAAAGATAAAATAAATAAACAAAAAATGATTAATCGCCTCTAATTGAATAAATACTATATTAAATATTAATAAAAGAAAATGAAAAACATAATAATATATTTGGGAGGGGACGTCTTGATGGTGATTTTGCATCTTGTCCTATCCCAAGCATATTTTTGTTTTGTCTTGCAAAGTCCCCTCTCATTTTTTCGGGGTGGGAGCAACCTGTCTTGACATGATCAAGACAAAACCGGGTCGATTGGGATGGGGACAAGCATTAAAACCCCTAATTAAATGGTGAGAATTGAAGATGATGCAAATGATGAAACTCAGAAGGACGTAGGAGCCTTGGATGTATGTTTAGTGTTAATCCTATTCCAGATTCGAAGGATGACAAAGTAGTGATGTTGAGGTTTGAAAACTCAATGTTGTCTTCTTGGCTAGTTAATTCGATGGTGCCCACCATAAAAAACGAGTTTCATGTTTCTTTTTATAGCCCATGAGATATGAGAGGATATCCGTGAAGCTTATTTTGATGGGGAGAATGTGTCTCAAATATTTAAAGTCTAAACAAAGCTCTAGCAGTCAAAACAAGGCAATTGTAATCTGAATGAGTATTACCTTGAAAAGGTTTTGTTATGGCTAGAAGTTGATTTGAATTGTGAAGAAGAATAGAGATGTGCTGAAGATGCTTTGTGGAGGAAGAACGGCTATTCGAATTTCTAGTAGGCCTCAACTTTGAACTTGATGATGTTCCTTGTCAAATTTTGAGCTTTGATCCCTTACCCTCAGTTTGTGAGGCTTTTTCTATGGTTAGATTGGAAGATTCAAGTGTAAAGTAATGTCTTTGAAGAATTTGCTCTTGTTGCTTGCTTAATGGATGCAATAACTCATTAAGGAAAGGTTACTTGTGATTTTTTGATGGTGATCAAAATTGGTGATTTTTTGAAGTATCGGTGCTTCATAGATGATAATAGTACATGATTATCAACAACTCCACAAACAACCCACTACTATTGAAGTACAATGAGGTAACTTCTTCTGAGCTTTAGCAGCTATTAAAGGCATGTGTTTTGGTAGCTGTGGGATAGTGGATTGGGGGCGTTAGATCATATGATTGATGATGTTAGTTCGTACACCTCATATACCCATGTAATGATAAACTTACAATAAAGATTGCTGATGTATCCTTACCTATGGTTGCTAGCTATTTGGAGTATAAGAGTCTTGTCTACTCTCACTTCACATTTTGATCTTTATGTTCCCAACTTAAAGTTTAATTTGCTGTCTGTAAATCAGTTAGCTAAACAAGAGGCTTGCCATGCTGTTTTTTTTCCCTACTTGATTGTATTTTATGGGACTTATTTTTGGGGATGACAATTGGTAGCACTAAATAATACAACAACCCCTATTTTTTGGATGCAAGTGAAGTGCAGAGCGTAAGAACTTGTAATGTAATTGCTCTCTCTAGGATTGGTGAACTAGAGTTGTGGCACAAATGGTTAGGACATCCTAACTTTCAATATGCATCTCAATTGTTTCTTTCCATTTTCTTGAATAAAGATCATTCCAAATTTTATTGTGATTTGTGTAAACATGCTAAACATCATCATGCTTTTCCATATCTCAATTACCAGGCATCTGAACCATTTACTACTATATAGTTGTGGGGTCCCTCTAAATATTTCAATCACACTCAATCAAAATGGTTTATCACTTCTATTGATGATCACATGTGAATTGGGTCTTTTTAAAAGATAAAAAGGATGTTCCTCAAAATTTCTTTCATTTTTAGCACGTGATTAATATTTAGTTTCAAACCACCATCTAAACTCTTTACACTTATAATGGCATTGGGTATTTCAACAAATCGGTATCTTCGTTCCTTAAATTGCATGGCATTGTTCGCAAAAGCACATGTGCTTATAGCCCAACATAGAATGGGATAGCTAAATGAAAAAATAGACACATCCTAGAAGTTGCTAGAGCACTTAGCCATGTTCCAAAATTCTATTGCCTCTTACCATATCAATCATCTTCCAAGTTGAACATTACAACAACAACAACAACAACAAGCCTTTATCCCACTAGGTGGGGTCGGTTACATGGATTGCAAGACGCCATTGTGCTCTATTATTTATCAAGCTTTTAGGAATATTATCAAATAACAGATCGCGTTCAATAACTTTCAAAAGTGTTCTCTTAGGCCTTCCTCTACCTCTCTTAATCCGACTCAAAGTTATATGTTCCACTCTTCTCATTGGTGCCTCCCTTGGTCTTCTTTGTACATGCCCAAACCATCTCAATCGATTTTCTACCATTTTTTTCCTCAATAGGTGCCACCCTCACTTTTTCGCGTACGTGCTCATTTCGAATTTTATCTTTACGTGTATGTCCGCACATCCATCGTAACATTCTCATCTTTGCTACTCCAACTTTATGCTCTTGCTGTCCCGTTAGAGCCCAACATTCACTACTATATAACATTGCCGGTATGATAGAAGTGCGATAAAACTTTCCTTTAAGTTATTAGGCACCTTACGGTCACAAATAACTCCTTTAGCTTTTCTCCAATTAAACCACCCAGCTTGAATTCTATGTGAAATATCTCCACTGATTTCGCCATTATTTTGAATAATGGCTTCCAAATATCTAAACTTTTCCACTTGAGGTATAATAGACGAAAACCTTTCGACTCCAATGTCCTCCTCCATAACTCAAGTTTGCCATTAACCTCTTCTCTTGTCTCTGCTATAAGACTATATCATCCGCGAAGAGCATACATTTCGGGATTTCCTCTTAAATATGTTCCGTCAAAACATTTAAAATCAAGTTGAACAAATAAGGACT